CCGCGGCCGGAGCGGATCCGGACGTTTCGACGCTAGGGGAGCCCCAATACTCTGGGAGATAGAGTCGCCTTTTCTATCCAGGGAGCGTGCGGGAGACCGGGCTGATGTATTTCAGCTTAGGTAGCATAAAACCCGCGCGTGGCATACGGTCTGATGCTCAATGCAGGCCCGGCCACTTGGAATGGACAAGCGGGGAGCAAGGTTGCCTTGGCCCTTCGGGGCTGAGCTGCCTCTACACCAATGCTGCGGCAGTAACACAATCCTGTCGTATGCGGAGGTGCGTCAGCTCTCATCTTGAGAATCAAAACGTCCGATAAGGCCGAATAGGCTAGGTGCGGACGTTAAAGATCCTCAGAGTGCTTTTTTAGGATGATCGACTATGCGGGAACCTCTTGGAATGAATACAATCTATTAGCGTGAAAGGGAGGAGTGTTTAACCCCACCCCGAGAAATATCGATTACTTGGGAGTGTGAATGTGCCAGACTTCTAGGGTGTTTTGTGTATGTTAATTTATTAGTAAGAATATAATTTATTAGTTAATCTTTTAGTAAGGTGTTGGTTGAATTATAAAACTCTAGTGTCACGAGCTGGATTCGAACCCACGACCTTCGCCTAAATACGCCGATGCTTTAACCACTTTGTAGTGACTTCGATCCACTGGGACACCAATTTCCCATCTCAACCCCACCTTTTGAATTTTCTCTCCTTTTTGCCATTTTTCAAATGTCGTGTAATCTATTTTATTCTCGGCGACAAATGAAATGGCCACGGAGAGCTTTAGATCGGACGGCGAAACCTATTTGTATTCTGTGGACGTTTCTCTATGGCCCATGTCCAGTCAGAATGAAGTTAGTTATACCTAAATGGTTTCGATCAATAGCAAAGTTATTATAATCAACTCAGACAAATTTAAGAGACTCGTCTTGTTTGATTTGGTTTACAAAGCGCCACGATAATGATCCATCTCCAACAAGATTAGCAATGGATAATGTAAAAAAGGATTTTGTACAACAATACAGTTTGGGCGGCGTTCGTGCGGAAAAGCAAAAGAACCTCCATTAACCACTTGTTACGACGGTATATTATCCAAAGATGATGGGATTAGAGAGCGCTAGATTTACTGTGATCTTGAATAAAATAGTCCATCCAGTTAAATCGTTTTCTTAACTCGGCACACTGTATGCGGGTGCTGAATGAAAAATGCCCTTGTAATTGGAAATTGAGTTGTTTAACTTTGTGACAACTCCGAACATTCAACCTATCGTTTGTGACAGCAATAATTGCTGCCACTAATCCTAGAGAAATGCAGCAATGTTTCATTTCTATATAGATATAGAATTCAATTCATTATATTGCTCAATTATACCTATTGTATATCAATTTACGATAGATCACAGTTGAATTGTTGTTGTTACTCATCAAAATAATAGTGAGGGTTAGGTATATACTGTTGAGCCCATATATTGTTTCAACCACACCGTTAAAAAAAGAAAAGATTTTATTATTATTGTTGTGGTGTGCTTATTTACATTTTTTTTCCAAATGGCTTTATTTGTTCCATGTTAGCCAGTATATGTTGGTGAATGAACAGAATATTTTGATGGAGAGCCTAAAGAAGCCTCCAGCTCATTAAACGTGAGACGTTCTTTAGTTGAGTGAACGATTAGAATTTCAGACTGAAGGCGCAACTTGCTTGGGCACAGTAGATTACATCTGATTGTATAGTTGTGATGGAATGTCCACCGGAAGCCACCTGGAATTTCGTTGATTCGTCAACTTGATAGACATCACAACAAATCCTGGAGGGCCACCCTCTAGTTAAACATTTCCCTGAGGTATTCCGTAATCTGAGGTAATAATGGCCAGGATAAGTTATTGTTGTTATTTGCGATATACCCAGCATTGCTAATTCTTGGGCAGGCTATGTAACCGACAGCACGAGCGATTGAGGAGAAGGCCAATCTCGGGATAAAAATTTCCCTGAGATAGTCTGTAACCTCCATGGTAAATTTGGAGAAGACAACTATGCCTTCATTTAGGTTAACTTTGATATTATCACCAGTTTCATATGTTGAACGGAGAAATGGTCAACATAAGCAATTGAAGAGAATTAATGGCACCGGAAGGCAATATCAATTCCATTCTAGCTCGGATCATTCATTTTCTCCTATCTCTTATCTTCTGGATTTCCCTCGTTCTCGAAGGATTTCACAATGGAATGTAAACTGATCAATACAACCCTCCTGGAATTTTGGATTCTTCCATTTCATAGACAACCCTTGGGCTGAATACTCCACTGAGGTTCTTTATAACCTTCATGATAATCATGGAGGGGACAGCCATGTCTCCAAGTAGGGTAACTTTGATTATCACCAGTTTCATATGTTGGATGGAGGAAATGGTCAACATAAGCAATTGAAGAGAATGAATGGCTCTAACAGATACTATCCATTTTACGATTCGAACCATTCTGGCTCGGGTCGTCTGTTTCCCTTTTGTACTGGATTCCTCTCTCCCGTAGAGCACTTCCACGATGGAATAGTATTCACTGATGGAATGTCTACTGGAAACCTCCTGGAATTTCGGTGATACGGCCATTCGACATCACAAGAAACCCTTGAGGGCCACCCTCGGTATCGACATATCCTGAGACAGTCTATCCCCCCTCTCATGTGTAATCCATAATTGCGGATACTATTATGTACAGGTGTAAAATAAACAATGTACTCAAAAGATAAACCTTTAAAGCCCAGGAACATCTGAAGTTTGAAAATTCTACATAGGTTAACTTCGATTACCATTTTGTTATGCTGATTGGCGAATATAGTCAACAATGAACATGCTTTAATATTTTTTATTAACCATTAACAGAAGAAACAGCCATTAGAGTCGAATATTGAGCTGAAAAATGAAACAAGATTGTATAATGGGTTGAATAATAGATCTCTAATACCGGTTTTTCAAATACAGTTATGAAATCGATTATATTTCGTGGTCCGATTGACCAAGTAACTTCTTTCTATTAATTAATCTTTTTTTGCAAGGTATTGGTGGAAATGAAAAAGTTAGTGTCACGAGCGGAATTCGACCCTACCCCATTGGAAAATGGCAAAAAGGAGGGAAAATTCGAAAGGTAGGTTCAGATAAGGAGTTGGTGTCAGAGTGGATCGAAGTCACGATAGGTCAAGTGGTTTGAGCAGCGGCGTTCAGAGCCGAAGTTCGTGGGTTCGTATCCCGCTCGTGACACTAACTTTTTCATTTCAACCAAGACCTTACATAAAAAGATAAACGGTTATTTTAAATTGTATTTATTCACTAATATTTTAAATGAGACACTTTCTGGTTTATATAAATACAAAAATTAATTAGGGGTCTTAAACTGGATAATGTTACAATAAATATGCTTAACCTGTTAAGGTGAAAATTTATTAACTTATAAGAGAATATGTAGGCAAGGGGTAGATGTTAAAAAATACCTGATTTTAGTTTAGTTGTCTTCTCTGTTTTTACTGCTTATGCTCCTTAGATTATATTTATTTTTTTAAAAGAATCCTTGTTACTGTGTTTCCTTTATTGTTCTCACTCTGGATTTGATATTTTATTGGGTATATGGTCCTTGAATTAATACACTATATTATACATATGTCAAGCTTTCGTCTCTATATTTGGCCATCCTCAGGGCACTACAACTCTGGTAGGCAGAGTAATCCATTCATTAATAAGAACAAAAAATTTAGTTTTTTAACCTTTGTTAAAGACATGTCCATCCAACACATTGTATATAGTTTCGTATATGTTTAGTTATAATTGACCATATTAATTATTCTTTTTATCTAAGGTCTTGGGCGGGGGTAGATGAAAAATGGCAAAAAGAGGGACAGTTCGAAAGTTTGTAGGTCGAGATAAGGAGTTGGTGTCCGAGTGGATCGAAATCACGATAGCTCAAGTGGTTAGAGCAGCGGCGGCTTCTTGTGCCGAAGGTCGTGGGTTCGAATCCCGCTCGTTACACGAACTTTTTCATCTCGACCAATACCTTGTCCAGTTGTGTATTATGGACAAACCAAACAGTACCTACTATATAGGGTTAGGGCCAATAAATATGATTGTAGCAACCATAGCGTAATAGGTTTTATCCAAACATGCACGTGAGATGAAACTTGGCTTTGGTTTTAATGTGGAGGCGTTTAAGATAATGGACATTGTAAGCACACTTGGTCGAAAATTGTTGAAGGAGACCATGTTTGTGCAAAATAACTGCAATTCTTGCAATTTAAAGATTGATTGCAAAAAACTAAGTACAATTTACATTAATGTAAAAATTAAGGTCTCTTTTGGTTGTTTAAATATTACATATTCAATTGCTGATTTATATGTTGATAAAAAAATGTCTATATAAATTATTTATATAGGTTATTATTAATTTATTTGTAGTTATTTATTATTATTCTTTCATACGATATCAACTAGAGTTTATTTAATTAGAGATTCTTTCGCTTATTGGGTGTTTAGGTAGGATGTTTTGTTGATAGATGAACAATACCGTTATAACTTGGTTATTCACTTTAAAAAAATTGACTGTCAATGTGTCTTACATTATTATTTTTATGGATAACTACGTACATGTAAGTTTAATGAAATGTAACATCTCTATGTTATGAAATCAGATCAATTGCTGTAAGAAATTGTAAAATTTTTATTTTTATGTTGTAGTGCCCTGAGGAAGGCGAAATATAGAACCGAAAGTTTGGCATATGTATAATACAGTGTATCAATTCAAGGGCCACATATCCAATAAATAGAAATGATGAATGATGGAGTGCGGTGTTCAATCCTTTTTAAAAAGATAGTTCCTACTCACAGTAAGTTGTTTTGCAACGATCCGGATTTCGAGCTTTCATTATCATATATGGCGGTATCACTTTTGCAATTCATGTCGAGAGACGTGGTTGTAGAAGTCCTTCAACCTGATGATGAGCTAAAAGCTCGAAATCCGGATAGTTACAAAACAACTTACTGTGAGTAGTATCTTTTTAAAAAGGATTACCCAATAAATTCTCAAATCCAGAGAGCATCAAAGTCGGTCGATAAAAAAATAACACCCTTTATTGTTCGCCCTAGTTTTTCTCGATTTTTTTTCCCTTTAAAATATATTTCAATATTGTTGGCACGTTTTCTTTCTTAGTTTCTTTATAAATATAGTTAGCATAAATAGTGCAATACAAATTGATAACGTGTTTTTACAGCTTAACATTTTTTTTCGTAAATTGAGCATTTTTATTTACATGTTTGTAATTTAAAATTATACGTTTTAATTATTCTGCTATATACACTACAGTAGTTTTTCTTAACTTTATGACGCTTTGGTACAATATTTAATTTTTTTTATACAGCATGAGCAATTGGTTTGTTATGAAATGTTTTTTTTTATAAACTATCACTTTTTTCAAGTATCACATATTACTGACAAGTTGATGCATTTAATATAATTTAACATGGTAGTCCTCCTTGATCATATGTGCGCCCTTTTCGCCGATCATGATAACGGGGGCGTTGGGATTTCCGCTGACTATGGTCGGCATTATGGACGCGTCGATGACTCTGAGACCACGTACGCCGTGGACCCTCAGCCTAGGATCGACGACGGCCTCCGGGCCCACGCCCATTTTGCACGTTCCCGTCGGATGATAGATGGTGAATGTGAAGTGCCTCAATGCGCATTCCCAGTATTCGTCGGAGTTGAAGCGGAAGTGCTGACATCCCGGCATGGGAGTGTACAACGGCCTGGATTTGAATCTTTGGAAGGCCCTCGTGTCCGATAGATTCATCGCAATCCTGATACCTTCGATGAGTGTCAGAACGTCGATACGACTCGTAAAGTAGTTGGGGTCTATGAGCGGATGAGCGAAGGGGTCTTTGCTCCTCAGACGGACCCGGCCGGAGCTCTCGGGACGCAGGAGAAGAGGCAAGATGGTCCACGTCTCCGCGCTCTCCAGCGGTTTGTACATAGTGTTGTAAACGCCGTCCCTCAGGTTCAGAATCTTCCGGATTTGTTCACCGCCGTCGGAATTGACGGACGACGGGGCGAAATGGAATTGTATGTCCGGCCAATCTCCGCTGCTATCAGCGTACTTGGTGTTTACGAAAGCGACGCCTTCCACCCCGCCAAGAGACGTCATCGGCCCTTTTTCGTTGAAAATATAGTCCAATGCGACGGAAAGCGTCTGATATCGAGATTTTTTAAATGTAACGGGCTCGTTGACCAGAAAGGTCAGACCTCCGAGTCCGACGTGGTCCTGAAGGTTGTAGCCGACCATGGCATCTTTTATTAACGGTATCCCATGTCTTGCTAATTCTTGGGCAGGCCCTACGCCTGACAACATAAGCAACTGGGGAGAATTAATGGCACCGGCAGATACTATCACTTCCTTTCTGGCTCGGATCGTCCGTTTTCTACCGTCTCTAATGTACTGGATTCCTCTCGCTCTCGGAGGATTTCCACGATCGAATAGTATCTTCACAGCTTGACTCTTCATTGTAATGTGTAGATTTTTTCTTAATCGGACTGGCCGGAGAAACGCTTTCGAAGTGCTGCACCTGGAACCTCTTCGGATAGTCCCTTGAGCGATCATAAACCCTGTCTGCGATTCGCCGTTGATGTCTCTCACGTCGTAACCCAACTCTTCGCCGCCTTTCACGAATGCCAGAGCCAAAGGAGTCCTGAAAGGCGACTCTTGCACTGTCAAATAACCACCGGCACTGTGATAAGAACTGTTGACTAAATACGGGTTCCTATTGTCTTCGGATTTCTTAAAAAATGGCAGAACGTCCGCATAGGACCATCCCGGGTTTCCTTGGGCGGCCCAGGAGTCGTAGTCCCTTCTGTTTCCTCTGACGTAAATCATGGCATTTAGGACGCTGGAACCGCCGAGCACCTTGCCCCTCGGCCAGAAGCACCTATCGCCGTTCATTGCGAGACAATAAGGAGAGTGGTCGGGGGCAGGCTCAGTCTTGTACTTCCAATCTAGATCTGTCAACTGGAGATACCCCGCCAAAGAGGGTATATCTGAAATTTCCGTCTCATCTCCTCCAGCTTCCACCAACAGGACAGACCACGATTTTACTTCCGAAAGCCTGTTGGCCACAACGGCTCCTGCAGATCCACCTCCTATGACTATGAAGTCATACTCATTTCGCACCTAAAATTAAAAAAAAAAAATGGGTAAGAACCTTATTATTAACGTCATATTATGCCCATGTAACCTTTTATGATGAACTACATTGGCGACGTTTTAAGTGTCACCCAGCTTTAGTTTAAAGAAGAGTCTATCAACGCGTAAATAAGATCAAAAATTCTTTCGTTTCAATTAGGACTTTATTTGAAAATGTATGAAGTAACCCAGAAACCTGGAATTTCAGGAGAAAATGTTTCATAACAACCAATCATCTCCAATTTCTGTATGGAACAGTTTCTTCTATAATAACAGGCTTTAGGGGCGTCGATGGCCGCAACGGTTTAGGCGTTGACACGGCGTCATCACTGTAAGATAAAGGTCTCGACATACTTACAAATGGGCTTTTTTCAAAAACACCGACACCCCGAGGGTTGATATAACCTCTGCTGTTGCAAACCCGCGTAAAAAATATTTTAAAAAAATAACGGGCTTTAACCCGAGATACTGGGACGGTGGCACGTTCTTTTCGCATGACATTGATTTAATTGAACCGATTGACAAAATCTAGACTAGTTTGTCGGTCAACAAGGACTGTCATTGCGCTAAAATCACTCCAACGTGAAACGGCTCCGTTCCTATTTTCTAGTTTACGTCAAATACCTGTTTAGTGTCGATGGGCCTGGATTCCGGATCGACATTGGAATATCTGAAGAACGTCATTGCGGTGAGGAAGAGCGGCAGCAAGGTCAGGCCCATCCACCCTCCCGAATAGCCTAATGTGAGCGGGAATATTGACGGCGGCATTTTCCTCCATCACAACGCCTAAAAAACAAAAGAAAATCAGTCAGATAACACCAGGGAATGGTTAAAAGTGTCGGTTTTCCATCTGGGGATCATTGACCATAAGGTGAAAAGCAGGAAACGGAGCTGAAATGGCAAACTCTTTGTCGACTTGTCCCATACCTGAATCATATCCGACGGGCCGGCGGTATAATGCAGTGAAAGTGCAACGCCTGATCGAGTGTGTTTTAAATCAACCCTTCTTTATATGTCGAACCGTGTTGTACTCCGTCGATAAAAAATTTAAAAAATATATATATAATAAAAAACCGTCGAAACGTGTGAGGCGCCTGTTTGAAAACTGCTTCGTCCTCACAGCTCTTCCTGAAGATTTCACGGTCTATTCTGCCTTGTAGACGACCTTGTTGCCCATTACGTTAAATTTACGTGTTGATCATTTTACGGTCGAATACTAAGAATATTCTATATTCCTCTGAGTAGGGTTAAGTAACTCCTTCCTTTCACGATACTAAATTGCAATCATTCCAATAAATTACCAATAAACACAACACCCAATACAAACACGGAAGTCTGATCACATTCACTCCTCCAGAGTACTCGATTTGCCTCAGGGCGGAGTTGTGCTACCCCTTCCTTTCACGCTAATATATTACATTCATATTAATAGATTAACACACACACACACACACACACACACACCGTGTTTTATGGACACAGTGAATGCCATTTTTATTTTTCTGAACAATTAAAATTTTTCATTCAAGTGTTTGTTGTCTTCTTTTTGTGTTTTGAAATTGAGTTTAATTTATTATTCATATTGACAATGTTTTTTCTTTTGTTTTTGTTGAAATTATATTTGAATCGTCATCATACATGTAATATTATTAATGGAGCATGTATATAAATAAACTCCCTGGTGTTAGGGTGTACTTTCACCAGAAAAAACACACACACTCATACACCATNAAATTAATTTAATATATACTTTAAATTCTTACAAACAGGCAACAGTACAATTTTCTTTGTTTACTTACAGGACTAACAATAATTTTTATGACTTGTGAATTTTATCGCTATTACCCCGCCGGTATCATACGAATAAATGTGAAAGTAAACATTGAAACACACAATTTCAATTATCTTTCTGGGGACCACGTTGGCCAAGTAGTTAAGGCGAATTACCGCATTGCCACCCAGCGGTCGTGGGTTCAAACCCCGGCATATCCCATAGATTTTTAATTGCGAATAATATAGACAAAGTATTATAAAATGGTTTGACCCATAGTCCGCGACAACCAACGAGTAGTTGAACCTTAAGCCCTTCTATGTTACAGTCGACAGTCATCAAGTGCAACAGAAATATTTCTGAAGATAAGTTGATAATGCTTAATCAAAATTTTTCATAATTACGTAAGAATTTTCATTGTGTCTGAAATTAAACTTCCATCACGCATAATAGGGCTTGTAAAACGTGTTGTCTGTTGAATTCTTTTTTAACGGCCCTCACCGATATTTGAAGCCTTTGTTATGCTAAGTGACATGTAACATCTACAGGAATAATGCAACAGGGTACCCGTTTTAATGTAAATTCGATTAGTATGGGATTTCGGCCGGTTGGTAACTGTAACTAATTTTGAACAACTGCTTCCCGGCATGACAAAAGGCCTGACCTTTACGTCTGTATACTGTCACAATGAGTTTTGACGAGAAGAAAGGACCCATGTTGCACATACGGCGTGACAAGGGTTTGTTTTGCATGCGACAAACCGCCGGATATTCTTTTCGCGGGTTTTGCAATTTTGAAGGCAATGCAGTAATTTAACCTGTAATGTACATTTTATCCCCAATAGCTAGCTATCTCCGAGTTCCTTATTAAGTGACTCCTTATTGCCTAACCTAATCTAAATAACAAACAGTGAGGTCTGGCAACGAATTGCCAAAACGAACAAAACATCAGAAATTAAAACAAAGGTTGACGTAACACTAACGCAAGGGATCATTCTTGTCCCAACATTGTATGCCATTTATAGTGCTAACATACCATGTATCTCCATCATCATCCCAACATTGGCGAACAATACAGCACTTTCATCTCCTAGCATAAGCCTACCAAAGCCACCGCGAACACCACGAACATATCGATGGTACAAAATGTAATTTACATCGAACAAAGAAACTGGTCCTCCACATTACATCAACACCAAGACCTCATGTCGTCAACTCAAGATTTCTAGGTAACAGACCGGCGTGAAATACACACAAAAGGCCAGAGAGAAGCTTAACGGAAGACTTCTGATACAGTCTTTTTACTAGTCCTCAGACACGCGTAACACAAGGGATCTTTCTTGGTTCCATCTTTTGTCATTTATGCTGCTAAAATACCTACAGCAACATCTCGGACTGGATCAATGGTGCACATCCATCTCGTATACAGCATTTTTAACCAATCCTCAGACACACGTGTAACTCAAGTGATCATTCTTGATCCCATCTTATGTGCCATTTATACTGTTTTTTATTTTAATGCTTTTACAAGGGTTCGCAACAGCAGAGGTTTTTCTCAACCCTCAATTTGACCTCGTTTTTGAAAAAAAATCCCATTTGGAAGTAGGTCGGGTTTAAACCGCCCTGCATTCGAACCCGGGACTTTTACCTTACGTTGATAAGCACCGTGTCAACGCCTAAACCGTTGCGGCCACTGATGCCTTCATTTAAACTATTGACATACCTATAGTAACATCACGAACGGGAACTACTAACTACCTGCTAGCTCAAAACTTATCCAAGCCATCTCTAACACTTAAGAACTTACAGATTCATTAAAGTACATAGGACCATTCATAGACAACAGGCTGACGCTGACGTATTTTGCACACTAAAGGCCAAAGAAAAGCCTCGCAAAGAGTCTTTTCAACCAGCCCTGAGACATTAACAACAAAGGATCATTTTGATCCAATCTTGTATGCCCTTTATGCTGCTAACATACCTACACCTACATCCGAATGAGAACAACACCGCACTTTCATCTCCTAGTGACACCTCTAACACCCAAGATCGCATAGATTCATCTCAAGGCACATAGGATTATACCTAAGTAGCAGAAGGGCTGGATGTCCATATAGAAGAAATTTTGTAGAAGACATGGACTACGAAGACTTTTTGTCTGTAATATGTTATAACTGTAAAATACCCTGGTACAAACCAATCTGGTCATAGTGTGGATGCCAAGCTCTCCAGCACCCTTTCGCATACAGCGTTTCAGACTTTTCACTTCGCGTAACAGAAAGGATTATTCTTGGACAATCTGTTATTTATACTGCCGGCATATCTATACCAGCATTCTGCGGGAACAATATAGCAATTTTATCTAGTAGGTAAAAATCTTATTCAATCCTCTTATCTAACACCCAACAACATATTGATGATGCTCAAAGCATACTTAGTTGACCCAAATAATAGACTGACGTATAATCCATTCACGAACACTCTGGATCAAGGTATGGTCTTGAAATAGTGATTTACAAACACTTGATCCAGAGTGTTCGGTAGTGAAAAATTGGTCTATAGTTCTAATTATGACAATCCATACACAAAGGTTAAAAGTAGCTCACCGTAGACATGGGCAACCACGAAGATTTCTTTGATTGAATTTGTTATAACCGTAAAAACCAACAATCTTAGTGCAAAAGTTTGCTTTGACTAACTTGGACGTACCGTGGCTTCCTAAGCCGTCCAACATTCTTTCAGCATAACTAATTTTCAGAGAATCCCTCAAAGAATTGATTAAAACACCTTCTACACTACTGACCTCATATTCCATATTCGCAAACGTATTGATCTAATTTACGTTCCAACCGATCCATCTTCACTCGTTAACTTTCCCATCTCTAGAACCCTCCACTTCTTAATGGACCTTGAGACCTCCTCGCCCCTTAACCAAGTGCCGTATGGTTTCTCATACGTGTATCTGTTTTTTTGAACTGAAGTTTAAGGCATCTACTTCTCAAACATGCAAAGTCCTGGGTTCGATTCCCAGCGTTGTTTTTGGAAATTTCAAATAAATTAATTTAAATATGCAGTGATGGCGGGCAATAGTTCTTTTTACATCTATGAATTCTCTTTTTACATTTATGAATGAATACCCGTCGTGGTAATTTCCTCACGTTTTCGACGCTGAATAAAGGAGTAAAGGCGGTTTTTCTCTTAATCGTGTGAAACATAAGAATTCGGCCGATTTCTCACGTCCCTGGAATATAGGTTTTAAATAATCTTTGTTACCTTACTTCTCAGGCGATGAAGACAATGAACCACCTGGCCCGATAGCATTCACACAACACATCGCCACTTTTCTTTTTTACCTTTTGATCTTATATATAATGCCTCTATTTGAAAATGTCTGTTCAGACCTCCTAGTTTTAATGTGCGCTAATAAAATGAAATATTCATACTTGAACGCTACTCAGAATTATGGAAGTTATCTCTAAGTTTTCTCTCTATCCTTTGAAAAGCTCCAAAAAAGGCATAGTTTTCCCACCCATTATAATACTACGTAGAAATCATTTACCGACGCCATTGAAATTTTCCTTGATCTGCCCTAAACCCAACAAATCACACAACATTCCGAACTCCTATAGGTTACTGCCAATTCTTGATAAATTCCTTGAAAAACTCCTTTGTGAACAAATACACCGCATCCTCGAATCCTCCTAATATCGCATCCTACCTTGAGAAAAAAGAATGCTGCTCGAGATAAGGAACATGCTTTCGATCGAGTCTTCTACCTGGGTGGGCTCAGGAGACTCAAGGGCATCCCACCTTCCTTACACCTCCTCTTCCATAAATCTTCCCTGACCGTCAGATGTCTAAAGTATGGATCGGATCCTCACACTCTACTTTGTACAGGGTGGAAGCGGGAGTCCCTCAGGGTTGCGTCCTCGGCCCGCTACGGTATTCAATATAACTGCTTATATCCTTTCCCAACCCGACACATAGGAATGTCACTGCCATTCTATCCAATAACT